TGAGCTCAAGGTCGGATGTTTTATCGAATTAGTTTTGCACTTTGCAAGGGACTCGCATGTTCTGCACAAATATTGGCTTATGGAGGATTAATTAGTTCCAGCTCAATTTAAGATACAGGAATGGTAAATACCTAGTGATGATGCCTGGTATATAGAAACAGTTCCAAAAAGTATTCCCCCAGAATTAGTTTGCACTCCAAAGTGCACACTCGATGAGATACAGATACAGATAGGTCGCAGCCATATGCTGGAGTTTCTCCGCAGCGCTGACTCTCGGTTTATTAACCCCTTTTCCGCATAACACCTGAGCCCACATAATTTGTCATGCCGTTTGGAATTTATTCAACAGTCGGGCAAGCCCCCATGGAAACAAAGGAGGGAGCTGGAAAAAGTGTGGCTATCAAAAGACTGAAAAGCTGCAACCCCAAAACGCAGACACTGCAGAGTGGAAAACCGTGATCGCGCGGGGGAAATTGTGAAGAGGAAATGGATCTTAGAAGTGGCCTAAAGAAGTTGTAGGACCCGCAACAAATTCGTGTCCTTTCCTTTCCACTGCCCCGCGCATCATCATCTCAAGCGGTTCCGTTTTCCGGCTGCCCCTAGTTCTTTGGGCCTTTTGGTGCCGGGCAGGTGACTTTTGACTTTGGCTATTAATAAAAATAATAGTTGCGGCTAAAAAAGGAAGGAATAAGAAAAAAGAAGAAGGTGAAGAGCCCGGCCAAGAGCAAGGGCAAAAAAGATGTCTTAGGTCAGTTGCGTTGCAGGTGAAGTCGAGAGCCCGGCTCACAATTAAAATTCGGAGGGGATGCGATCGAAAAGGCACCTGTAATGCACAGATAGAGGGAGACGGAAGGACTCGAAAAGGAGCAGGATGAGGAGGATGAGGAGGAGGATCATGGGGAGGAGCAGGGGCAGCAGCATCGGCTCAACATTACATCGGCTCATTTATGTTTATGTCCTTTCGTTGTAAGCAGTCTGGCGCTGATTCCCGATTCCCTCCAGCGGCATTGAGCACCTGCTGCCGCTTCGGAGGCTCCTGCTCCTGCTCATCCTGCTCCTGCTGCTGCTGCTGCTGGCGGAATCCTGGAACCTGTCGCATAATTATTGAGCCAGGCCCAGACGAGACGCGTGCTCAAAGCCGGTTTGCGGCAAGAGCCATATGCCAGGAGGCAAATTACAACGGCGACCTGCAACCAGTTGACATGGGCCACACGACACCAGCAAAATCGGCAGCACTCAGAAAAAATCTCAGATAGAACATAAATACTGGGATACCAATTTCATTCAAAGCCAGAATATTTTATTCTGAAAGTAGGCTACTAGTAGGCTACTAAGTAGGCTACTGCCTGCTATCAGATATGTTTTGCCGCATTCAGATACAGCTAATTATGTTTTCAGTGCCGAAACATATCAGCAGAAGCCAAAAGATGCAGCAGTCGTAAAAATCTCTCCCCCAGACGGACAGACCGCAAAACATCGGAGATGGGAGACCAGAGATCTGCATCTAATCTTGGCCCTCAGGGGAGTCGCCGCCGATTCCTTTTTGAGCCACAAGCTGTCGCTTAAAATCCACAAGCGAAGGTGCAACAACAGTCGCAAGTGCGCCGCTGCACCTGTCACGTTCGATCGATATTACAACGATCGACTTGCCGGCTTGTTGGCCAGGCCAAAAGTGACCCAATTTCAACAGGCCACCGGCTCGTTCTTCGTCTTCGAGTTCGAGTTCGAGTTCGTCCCTTCCTCGATTTTCCCTTTGAAACTGATAAGTTATGATTGCTTCACTTTTGTTTGATTGAGCATTGTCACCTGGCCGAGCGAGCTGCTCGAAATTGATTGTTAGACGAATCAAATCCTGCACTCGGGGTGTTGTGAAATGGGTTTATGCGTTTTTAATGGACTCTCAAGGACAGGTGACGGCTCCATATGCTGTCGTAAAAATATTAAAAAATCCATTAAAAAAAAGTCCTTTTGATGTCCTTACAGTAGTCATATTTTGATTAGTTCTAGTTGGAGGAGGGGACTGACGTGTTCATCTGGAAGTCTGTCTATCACAAATCCAAATCCCACCTTGCTCGGTATTCTTTATTTAATTAATACCTTGGCTAAAATAACCGAGATACATATAAGCAGACAAGGTTAAGAAATTGTACTCCCACTAAGGCAAACAAAATAATGTGCTTAAATACCATTCAGGATTCATTGTGATGCGAGAAGGACATTACAAGTCCTTAGAAGTCAAAGAACTCAATTGCCCTGTCCCAGGTAGAGATTTCACTGGCCAGTGCCTAATCAGACTTGGCCAAGAGAACGAATACTGCTACTTGCGCAGCCTGGCCAAGTTCGCTGGCCAAATCGGAAGCCAACAGAGTGCCGTGTCAGCGACTAAAGTCTGCAGGTTGCAGATTAGTCTGCAACCGCCCGTTCCCCGGGAAAATCTTAAGCTGTTTCGATTTGAGTGCAGAGGACAAATCCAAATCCAAATCCAAATCCAAGTCAAATATGCAAATCAACCCCTGGTCGACACGGCGAATTGTGAAATCTATTCGCAGAGCTTAATTGGCAAGAATAAGGCAAGACAATGACCAATCCAATGGGCTTAGCGAAGGGTTGCGAAGACGCGGGCCACAACAAAAATGGTTAACTCGATACCCAAACAAAAGGTAAAGCCCCAGCAATTAAAACGACAAAATCTAAACACGAAATTGGGTACGGATTTCGAGAGTAAAGGTGCAAAGTCAAAGGGACAGGGGCGGGAGACATCGATCTCAAGGTGTTTTCAACTCCAAGCCCGAAGAAGACACAGATTATAGACAGATTTTGAGGCGGCCGACGACGACGACGGCGGCAGACACACAATGGCCAACAAATTGCGGCCAAAGATGCAACATTTAGGTATGAGGAGCACCCAGGGATCTGAGGATCACAGGATCAGCAGGTCGAAAACGCGAGCCAGCCGAGTCATTATAAGAATTTAAGCGCACCTTTCGTTTTGTTTTCCAGATCACCGGGATTCGAGTTCGGGTTTGGGTATGACTTTCAGTTCATACTCGGATTCAGGGCGACAGGTGCTCGGCAGATAAGAGCAGAGCAAAACAGAGCACTGCGCATAGCGGTAGATGATTTGGATCGGCGAGGATCGTTATCCTGCTGCCGCTTTGGTCCTTCTGCTGCTGCTGTGCCAGATTCTGGCGGCCAGGACAGCAGGGGCTGGCCAAATTAATTCCTTGCCATATTTTATAATTCAACAGATGACACGAGCCAAACCGAGGGCTTCGAGAAGTCCTGGCACGAGGGTCCGCTGCTTGATTGGTGCCCCTGGGGTCGGGCTTCTTCCCAAGTACCGATTCCCGATCCCGATCCCGATTCCGATCCCGGTTCTTAGGCCCAGTTCGATCCTGCGGCTCGTTTGTGGCACAAGCCACATGCCACGCATCCAGGACTTTTGCTGAGCGGCTTTTAGATTGCTCTGCCAAAGGGTTACATGAGTTGCTTGGCAGTTTTTGCTTTTATTTTTTAGTGTAAATTACCAACTAGCGCTAGTTTTGTTGTTACATGTAAATGTTCTTAATAGCTAAGCAAAATTTGGAGAAAAGGTAACTCGAACTTTAGGTTTCACTTGGTTTTATTGGCAGCTGATACATATATTATATATATGCATTAAGAAACATTGATGATTAAATAGCGAGGTAAATTAAATACTTCATAATAACTTCAAATAATGACTTTTTAAGCCAATATCATCTGGAGAAGAGTATTTGGCCCTCGAATCTCAAGAAATCGGCACCTCCCTCATTATTGGCCGAGGATTTGGCTCGGCTTGAGGTTCTGGCTGCTTTTCCCCCCCGGCACATTAGCTTAGTTTATTTGAAAGTGCAACAGTTTGTTGATAAAAAGCAGTTTGTTGAACCCTCGCCACAGTTCGATTGGAGTGGATTGCAGTGTAGTGGAGTGGAGTGGAGTGGTTCCCCTCAGGGAAGGGACAAGCGACAACGACCTTTTGTCTATGCGATCTGCGGGAATAAAAACATGGCCAGGGGTTGTGTTGCAACATGGGCATCGGTCCTAACTGCATTTTGGCGAAGAACAGTTACGAGTTACGAGTAGCATGCTACAGGTGGAAATCGAATGCTTGTCACACTAATTTCTCAAAGTTCGAGCTCCGTTTGCAGTTCTCGATTGGGTCGGTGGCTTCGTTTGTAGTCCGCTCCTTTGGCCGTTGCACTTTCACAGTTGCACCACTCCTGTCACATTTCGTTGTTTAATTTGATGTCAGTTTTTAGACCTTTACCGGGGTCCATAGCCCGACATGCTGGCGAACGCATAATTAGCCGATAGAGATAGCAGCAGTAGCTGCTGCCAAAGGAACTTGGCCATTGAACTTGGCCAAAACGCAGCGGAGGATCATTAGAGAAGTTTGCTGTGCGGCAGCAGGTTGAAGTTGAATGAACTAGCCCAGAGTTCGACGGTCAGGAGAAAGGATAATGACAGCACAGGTAGGGACCCCTTCAGGTCTAATACATCTGCTGGTCCTCATGGGTGACATGTGTTCGAGTATCACCTAGAAGTGATGCGATCCCATCTGCAACCTGTTGCGGAAATCACTGTTTGATTTGATTATATTATAGTAGGCACATCAGACATGTAAGAAAATCAAAACTTAATTACAAACAAAATTACAAATCGGTAGTATTGCAAAAATAAGTGCTTGAAATATGTTTTTAAATGTAGCACACAGCCCAAGACAGAGGAAAAGATTCTAAAAACACTTTCAGAAACTGAAATTGTACTTTAAAACGCAGCTTACTTTTAAAAATTTGTTTTATGTAAAATGTATTTGAAATATGGGTGTAATAAAATGTAAGCTGTAATGTAAATTTACTGTAAACTTAAGCTGAAAGCAGTATACATTCACCAACAGATGGCGCTTTAAAATCCGTCATTCAGTATATTTATCGGGCCATTCGGTATATCACTGTAATCGAAAACCAGGCACACGGGGCCAACGCGATTTAAAAACCGATAACCGATACTTTCAAATAACGCATCCAAACATCGACGACGCAATTTGCGCATTTTAAACGCTAGCGGCAAAGCAATCCAGTTTTGTTGAAAATTCCGATCAAAAATCGTGGGAAAAAAATTTGTACTTAAAAACGAGATGCAGGGACTGTTCAGCGATCCGGCGCTGGAGCGCCACTTCACGGGCCACTCGGGCGGCATCACGCAGCTGCGCTTTGGTCCCGATGGCAACCAGATCGCCACCTCGTCCACGGACTCCACGGTGATCCTGTGGAACCTCAGCCAGGCGGCCCGCTGCATTCGCTTCGCATCGCACTCGGCGCCGGTGAACGGAGTGGCCTGGTCGCCAAAGGGCAACCTGGTGGCCTCCGCCGGACACGACCGCACCGTGAAGATCTGGGAGCCCAAGCTGCGCGGCGTTTCCGGAGAGTTTTTGGCCCACGGCAAGGCGGTGCGCAGTGTGGACTTCGACTCCACCGGTCACTTAATGCTCACCGCCTCGGATGACAAGTCGGCGAAGATATGGCGCGTTGCCAGGAGGCAGTTTGTGACTTCGTTTGCACAGCAAAACAACTGGGTGCGCAGCGCCAAGTTCAGTCCCAATGGCAAACTGGTGGCCACTGCCAGCGATGACAAGTCGGTGAGGATTTACGACGTGGACAGTGGTGAGTGCGTGCGCACCTTCACCGAGGAACGAGGCGCTCCACGGCAACTGGCCTGGCATCCTTGGGGCAACATGTTGGCCGTCGCCCTCGGCTGCAACCGCATCAAAATCTTCGACGTAGCCGGCAGCCAGCTGCTGCAGCTTTACGTGGTGCACTCGGCGCCGGTCAACGACGTGGCCTTTCATCCCAGCGGACACTTCCTGCTCTCCGGCAGCGACGACCGCACCATCCGCATTCTGGACCTGCTGGAGGGAAGGCCCATCTACACTTTAACGGGCCACACTGATGCGGTCAATGCGGTGGCATTCAGTCGCGATGGCGACAAGTTTGCCACCGGTGGTAGTGATCGTCAGGTGAGTTTCTGTCTCTTGATAATGTGCGCAGGTGGTTTTACTCGTTGATTTCTGTTTCACTTGCAGCTCCTGGTCTGGCAGTCGAATCTACACACCTACGATGCTTCCCAGTTTGAAGCCAAGTCTGCCTTGGCTTCCTCCAGTTGCGAGTCCAGTGGCGTCTCTTCGAAACAGAGCGTTGGCAGTGCGACCTCCAAGTCCAATGACCTCAGTATCCGCATTGATCCACGCCAATCGCTGGCCTATCAGCTCTCGGAGGAGAACTTTCAGGTGCTCGATAGTAAACACTCGACTCAGCCGGAGAAGGTGCTCAGTCATGGCATGGACTTCAAGCAGCATATCCCAAGTCCGCGCTTTTAACCAACACGTTCAGTAGCCTTCAGTAGCGCACATAACCAGCCGAACCTTCCGCAGGTATTGGACGTGTCCTTCGAATCCGGGTCGGACTTGTGCTCCTGTTCTGCGCGGCTGGACGAGATCAGCAAACTGCTGGCCATGATCGATGAGCGTGTGCGGCGATTGGAGGGCATATACTCTTTATAGCCTTCTTAGATCCCTGAAATACAAATAAGCGTAGTATAATTCCTGTAGCGATCATAATTGATAGCGATCCTTGATAACAATTTCGTTAAGTTATTTTCTATGACGTATTTTATAAAAAGCTATTTACAAATTGTGAATCGATTCCTATGAAGGCTTTTTCATGTTCATATATAAACCTTTGCTTTAAGGACCAATTTTCCGGTTGCCTTGGCTTTTTAAAATACATTTGTTTTCATAAGGAATTCAACGATGATTTTTAGAGGTTTTATTTGCATATATGTATATAGAAATTTTGGGGATTGCTTGAATCAACTAAATACCTATTTAAAATAAGTGTATTTCATGGCAAATTAACTTTAGTTGCAAATTTTTAAATAAATTAAATATCCGAAGAATAATTCCAATGGTGAGAGTTTATGAAATGAATATGAATAAAAGTAATAAGCAAGAGAAACCAGTTTTAAAGTAATTATATTTAAAATGTAATTTCTATAAAATCCGTGATGGTTTGAGTCTTAGGTGGATTCATAGCCAGGTGCCCGTACTTGTGACACAACATTTGGCATTTTGAAACACTGAGCCGACGGCCTCACTGCCCCAAAAAAATAAACAAAATCCGGCGGAGAAAGTGGCGATAAACGACGCCCAGAAAAGCCGTATATTTGGGACGTCGAGATGCGTGACTGGATGCCGGTGCTCTTCTGCGGACTGTCCGTGCCGCTCTCGCTGTTCATGTGGCTGGGCAATGTGGCGGTGTCGAAGTTCTGGACCAGCGACTTTGAGGGTGAGCGATATGGATCTCCATGCGAATGTTACCTGGGGTCAACTAATGCCATTAGGTTATCCGACAGAGTCCCGGGTGATTCCGCCGGTGCGGTGGCTCTTCTCCACACTGGCGCCCTTGGCCCTGATGACGGTGGCTCTGCGCCGGCGAAGCGTCAACCGATCTGGAGCTGCGCTGGGCATTCTGGTGGCCTTCATCCTCTCCATCGCCAGCCATCCGTTCTTCGCCAGCCTGGTGGTGTTCTTCTTCAGCTCCTCGCGGGCCACCAAGTTCCGGGCGCACATGAAACGCCGCTTCGAGAGCGATTTTCGCGAGGGCGAGGGCCAACGAAACTGGATACAGGTACTCTGCAACGGCGGCATGGCCGCACAGCTGGCGTTGCTCTATCTGCTGGACTGCGGCAGTGGTGAGCGAGCGGTGGACTTCTCGCGGGAATACCGATCCAGCTGGCTGGGTGTGGCCGTGATGAGTGCGTTTGCCTGCTGCAACGGCGACACCTGGTCCAGTGAGCTGGGATCTGTGCTGTCGCAACGCGATCCAGTGTCTATCATCACCTGGCGGAGAGTGCCGCGCGGCACCAACGGTGGGGTTTCGCTGCCCGGCGTCGTGGTGAGCCTGCTGGGCGGCCTGCTCGTCGGATTTGGCTACTTTGTCACCGTTCGTTACACAGTGGAGGCCAAAATGCTGTTGGTTAGCCCACCACAGTGGCCCATCATCGCCTTTGGTGGCATCGCTGGACTTTTCGGGTCCCTTTTGGACTCTGTGCTGGGTGGTCTGCTGCAGTTCTCCGGCATCAATGCGGAAGGCAAGATTGTAGATACACCTGGGAAGGAAGTGCGCCACGTGAGCGGACTGCGCATCCTGGACAACCACAGTGTCAACCTGATTTCCAGCATCGTCACCGGCGTCACCATTCCCCTCCTCGCCCAGAGATTCTGGCCCGTGCGCTGATTGTGGTTTTCATCAGGATATGCGCGCTGCGGTATTCACTAGCCCAAATTTCAAAGGCTGCTTCGCAAGATCAAAACCCATGTTAAGCATAAACCCATGTTCATAACGCCCTTTAGACAGGTATATACCATTGTTAGCCATTTACCATTTCATAACGCCAGTGAATACCCTCCATATATATATTTTTGTGAAGCTACGTATCGCCAAGCGAACAAACCGACTTAAAAGACTCGATAAAAGCAACGATTGGGCAGCGAACGGCCAAGGCAGTTAGATTATATTTACGGATTATGACTTTGTTGTTACTGCGAATGTCCACCTCTGTTGTGTGTATAAACTCCATTAAACACGAACCGTACATGTGGATCCATTGTCATTGTCTCAAAATTCTTGTACGTGACGGCAGAAACTTTCTGATTTGGTTTTGTATACTATAATGGCGTCATCACAAGTTGTTTTCAACAATTTGGATATCTATGATTGGATCCGACTGGAATAATTTTAGCAGACCTCGCTCATTGCATAAACAATTGCTGTTGTGGTGATTGAAAAATTCACGGAATTTTGTAAATATGCCTACGGAATAGCATTACTATTCATACTATTCGAAATTTGTGAACTTTGCTGAAATCGGTGAACTTGGTGCTTCAACTTGGGCAAAAATATCTTTTGTTCGTTTGAAATCTAGCTACTATGGGTATTCCCAGTCTTCGAGTGTATTGTTGTAAGTAAACTAAAAAGTGAATACAATTGAATTGACAGTATATTCCTCCGTTCATAATGTATATTTAATATTTTTGAACTTTATTCGCTCTTCTCAGTTTCTGAAGTTCAAAATTTCGAATCAAGTTTTGTGAAAGAGCACGTAAAGCCTCGCTGGACGATCTTTGCGAGCTCGTAGTGCTGCTAGCTCCACCCGGAGTAGTTGGCTTGGCGAAGCCGATGGAGAACTTGATCATGAGGTCTCCTATGGGCGAGTTGACGAACTGGGAGCCCGTTGAGATGGTCTTGAAGATGATGCGACGCTTGTGCTGGTAAACCTGCGGGTCACTAGGAAGGCTGTGTCCCGGTTGGGAGTCTTGGATTGTTGTCTTGGGATTGGTACTGGAGCTAGTCTTGGGCCGAGCGGTGGTCGTGGTCACAGTTGGTGATTGCTCCGTGGTGCTGGTTTGGTTCAATGGTCTTGCTGTGATCCTGGGCTGTGCAGAGGTTCTAGTCCTGGTGGTTCGTGGCTGATGTGTGGTGGTGCTGCGTCGCCTGTACGGTTTGCGAGTGGTGCTGCTTGGAAGGCTCAGCGAAGGTGCCTGGTAGCCTGCGTCCTCATCCTCGGGAGCAGCTGGCACGGCGTCCGGTTTCTCGGGGTCCACCGGATAGCCCGGATCCGTCTGATCCTCCTCGTCCTCGTAGTCGTCCTGTATATCACCATCTTGATCTCCGCCGGAGAAGTACGGTGGCTGGTGTGGTGGATGCTGGTCGCGGCGCTCCTGCTTCTCGCGGTGCTGCTCGTAGACAGGATCGTTGGGCGCCGACGAGGCCAGCACTTGCTCCATCTGCTTCTGAAGGATCTCGTAGAGCGGCGTATTCTGCTCATCCTCTAGGACTTCCGCCGGTTCGCTGGGCACAAACTGATTGTTAATAAAGGCATTACGGCCGTCCAGGTCTTCTTCTAAGTCCAGTTCCTCGTCCTTACGCGATCGGGACTCCGTTTGCAACTGCTCGGGTGGTGGATGGGTCACTCCTTCGGTTACCTCGGCAGGAGCAGCTTGAATGAGCAGAACTAGGAAAGGATAACTTAGTACCACATGCCAAAACATTCAGAACATGCTCACCTCCACTCAGCAGGATCAGCAGCTGAATCTTCCAGGCTAGAACTCCGACACTTGTGGCTCCCATTGCAGTTGGTCAACTTCTGTGGCAGTGACACAAATCCCGCTGCTTTTATAGGCAGCCCAGCAGCAACCTGTTGCATTGTCCATCCCACGCCCAATTAGTTTGTAGGTTTAGTGCCTGGCATTGGGTGATGGCCCTTTCAAGCTTCTGATTTCAATCAGTTTATAGAACTTGTTTTGGGGTCAATGCACTTGATTCAATGCAACTGCAGCACCTCAGAATTCTTCCCAATTTAATTACAAGCAGGTGAATTTGGCTCTAAGAAAGTTTTTAAATTATCTGATTGAAAGAGACATAAAGTTGGAGTTCTTATCCCGTTACCTTCCAAGACTTAAGAGGCTATTCAAGAATTGTCAAGAATATGTTTTTTCGGTTATTAGATAAGATAAACTCTTTAAGGCTAATAAAACTACAGAAATCTTCACAAATGATATAGCTATGAAAACGCAACTGCACAATGCACATATTTCCATATTTAAGTGCTCAAGGGATCTAAAAAATAATTTAACTTGGCGGCTTGGAAACTATTTAAGTCTAGCTTGCATTCACATAAGTGTATAGATTAAGCTTAGCGATCTGGGAGTCATAGAAACTAGGAAAACAACTTTGGGAAAATTAAAATTGCGTTTCGATACCATATAGTATCCCAAAGTGTTCAGCAGGTTGACCAAAAAAGAACTTCCATTAAACTAAGCCATCAAAACTGTAGTCCCAACCACGTTTAGGCTACAAAGCAAATCTATCATTTGTTATCGAACAGAAATGTTTCGAATTGTTTTGAATTTTATTTGTTGTAATAAATTAAATAAATACTATAACTAGGTGAGATTCTAAGCTACTTGGTACTTCAGCCTATCATTGTCCTTGGCCTTGGGCTGAGTCTGCTTGTTGAGGGGCGCGATCTCCAGAGGCTTTGGCGTGGGAGTGTCCTTCAGTGGCATAGGGGGCATAGCGATGTCCTCGGTGGTCTTTGCCGGCTCCAGGACTGAAACTGGTTTGGGAATTGCTACTTGTACAGGAACTGCCACTGGCATGGGCACCTGGGAAGATGCCACTGGCTTCTGAGGAATCAGGGAAAGGGGATCCTTCTGCGTGCTCTCCTTTTGGTCATCCTTCTCTTCGCTGCTTTCACTGCTGTCCTTCTCGTTCTTCTTCTTCTCAGCTTTCTCCCTCTTTTTCTGCTCCTTCTCCAGCTTGTGTTGCTCCTCCTCCCGCTTACGCTTCTCCTCCTCCAGCTGCAATTGCTCCACGACGGCCGCATCCCGGAAATAGGGCGATGACCGGAACTTCTTGTCGGCATAGGAAGTTTCCTTCGGATATTTCTCCTGGCACTCGGCATAGGTGAAGTCCGCCCAAAGACCATGGGATCGGCACTTGGCCACGCCCAGCTTGCACTTGTTGTAGAAAACGGCCACCTCTGAGGAGGTTCTGCCGCAGATGGGCTCATAGAGTTCATCGCAGTCGTCGTCGCACAGATAGCCCTCGCTCAAGGACTGGGCGGCACTGTTGATAGCCGCGGAATTGGAGGTCTGGCAATTCTGCTGGCCCGCCTCACAGCTGAACCAGGCGATGGGAATGGCCAAATAGGGCGGACTTAGACGCTTCTGTGCGGCCTCGATCTCACCGGGCGCCGCATAGGTGCGCTTCACATAGTAGCCGTGCTCTTCGGTGGAGACCTGAGTGCGGGCAGACAGATCCGTGGAGCTGGACCACTTGGTCTTCGTCTTGGTCTTGTGCGGATCAGACCTTTCGTAGTGGTGATCGGAACCCTTGTGCTTGCGCCGCTTGGCAACCGCGGGAGTCGCCTCCAAAAGCAGCAGAGCTGCCACAGCTGAAAGGAAAATGGGTGGATGCCAGTTAATTATGGGATCTCCAGAACTGGTCAGTGGTTCGATATGCGAGCCTTACCCACGATGCAAACTACTTGGTATGGCCTCATGTTGATCTGGTCAGCTGCTCGACTCCACAACAACTGATCGCATCTTCTGGCGAGCGGTGCTTAAGTACCAGTCTTAGCCACTCGGCGGGGAATTCTTTAGTGGCTTACCGGTTTTCTGCCCACTGCAGCTCTTCCAAACAGTTCCCCTGCCCATCTGCTCGGGATTTGTTTACACTTCGCGATGGCTCGAGGTCCGAACGAAAGTACGCCAACTTATTTGGTACTGCGTACATACGAGTATATTGTATTTGGTGAAATTTTATGCAAACTCATGTGCTTGTGGTCGTACCTTTTGCAGCGATAGCCATCTAGAATGCCTCGGACCTGGAACTGGTTGTGTGTGTTTTTAACACCTTGGTGCCCTCCATTCGACGCCCAGCCTCCCAAGCTCGGAGTCTCCAAGCTTCTCGAGCCGGTTCTCCGAAATTGGGTCAATCTGGAAAGGTTCGGTGATCTGGTTGTTATTTTATGAGGTTCTTCTGACCGCGATCGCCGGCAGCTGCACTCGCTCGCAGGAAATCCACGTCCAATCAGCCTTGTCATTCTGTTATTCCGCCGGTCTCCGTTGATCTTTGATCTGCGTAAGTGGATACCATGGATACCATTTGTGATCTTAATTAGAGCGAGCTCAACTCAAATGCGCCATACATATTTGCAGCATACATTCTCTTAGAGTGGCGATTCGTGGTCATAAATCTTTCCTATTTTAATTCATATCTTCGAGTACCTATCATCGCCGCTCTCTAATGAGCATGTATCCCTTATAATCAGTTAATCAAGCCATAGAGCCATCCACAATTGCCTTTGTTATTACCACCATCAGTTTGATGACTCATCCAGCTCGTGATCACTTCTTGTTGATGTTGAATGCGCAGCTCCATGGAAAAGTTTTCAAATTTCCCATTAGCATTAGAAAGTTAGCCGATCCGATCTGTGATGCATTAGTTGGGGGCGATCAAGTCGAAGCCGAGACGGCAAGCGTGTCCAATTACATAATTGGGGCTTTGACCGAGTCCCAAAAACTAGGGGACTAAGTGATCTTGTAAGCAGTTTGCATATCAGCCGTGGACTGCGACGTTGGGGTTGCCAAAAGGCGTTAATCTTTCGGGCAAACAGATCGAAGCAACAGCGTCCATAGACGTCAAGTTTACAGATTTATGAAAGAAGCCACCAGAAAGCAGAGAGACCGAAAATTTTAATAAATGATTTCGGCGGTTTCTTTGGGGTTTCTGTAAGCCACCGGGTAGACAAAAGAGGCTCAGCGAAAAGAAAGAAACCAAATGAGATGGGCCGCGGTGGGAGGAAAGAAACCCAAGATAGAGAGCTTGGGTGCAGTAAAAGCGACTGGACAACGCTCTGGCAGCCCGCTCCAGAGATCGGGCTCAGATCTCGCAGAGAGCGGAGCGTCTGGGGATCGCCTTGTTTGCTCGCATTTACTTTCATTTTTGGAGGGGCTATAAAAAGCGAAAGCAGCGTGCTGGATTTGCTCATAAAGACCGCAAAACTGCAAAAGTCCACTACGAAGCCAGCTGGAAGCAAAGGATTACCACAATGGTTAGACCCATTTACCTGGCCCTCGGTGAGCTGCGCTAATCTCTATGCTCTCTTGTGGGTCTTGGCTAATCTGTCCGCTTTCTGTCTGTTTCCCCTTGCAGCCGCTCTGTTCGTATTGACCTGCTCTGTTGGTGCAGCTCCATTGGCGGAGACGGAAATCAATACCACGGAGGAGTTAGCCGTCTCAAAACAGGATCCGCAGGTTGTGAACTCCAGTGCCGATAGCAGTGAGGAGAAGGACGACGAGGAGGAGGAGGAGCAGGCTCAGAAGGTCGAGGAGGACGATGATGATGAAGAGGACGACGAAGACGATGACTCGCTGATCCGGAGACGTCGTGAGGCGGAGACCACTGAGGAACCTTCGGAGGAGGCTGCCACCGAAATTCCCAGCGAGGGTCAGAAGGTGGATGCCACCACTGAAGCAGCTCCAACGCGAAAACCCGTACTCGTGCTCATCCGGGATGCCCTGAAGAAGGTCACCACCGATCTGCCCACCGCCCAGGTGGCCAACAATGCGCTGCAGTACTTCCAGCAGTTCGAGCACTTCATCCAGCAGGCCATTGAGGAGGTAATTGGCGATGACGATGACGAGGAGGAGACTCCAGCGACAGTTGTTCCCGAAACGGAAACCACAATCGAGGACAACAAGAAGCCCGAGGGTGAGAACGCGGAGAAGATCCCGGAAGTTGAGATCCCTGCTGCCGTTTCCGAAAAGGAGACCCTCGCCGTGGAACCCATGAAGATGGAGGAGTCCGCCTCCTCGACTTCCGCTCCACTCAGCAATGCTGTCTAGTCTACAAATTTAGATCAACCACATCATTCCTCAGCTATTTATTGTCACCTATTTATTGCTAACTATAAATTGTACGCCATAATCTGTGTTCGATCGAGCTTATTGCATTGGGTTAAACAGAAAATCCTTGAGAATCCTGACATCCTTCCGCTTACTGCCCACCTCCTGCATCGCATCCACGGGACTCCTGAGCTGGCTGCGATGGCGATTGGTGGTGCGCCGCTTGGGAGGCTCAATCTGCTGCAGCAAGCGATTGAAGAATGAGTTCGGTGACTTGGTGGAGGGATTCCTGTTGCTGGCCTTTTTCAGTGACAATTCCTGATCTCCAATGGTCAAAGTGATGGGCATTTTGCCACCCGTGCTGATATAAATTGGAATGGTTATGTAGATGGGCGAACCGGCGGATGGTGAAGCCGCCACCTGCGAATCCGGCTTACTCTCGGCTTGAGATTCTGGCAACTGCTGTGAATTTGGAGAAGTACAATCATAAGGAAGTGTGTTAGTCAAAAAAATCGTATATTGCAAAAGTGTGTTAGTATTATGAATATTTAGCTAACAAAGTAAATAACTTAATGTCATACCAGCTCTGTTTTTTCAGGTTTTTGTGGCACCTGCGGTAGAAAATAAAAGCAAGCAATTGGAATTAATTAAGTGATTAACTATTTTCAGAAATATAACTTTCTACACACGATGTAGACGAGTTAAATTTCCATATAAAGATGGAGCTTTAATTAATGGTTTTTTGACAGTGGCTCAAATGAAGCTTTCTAAAAGAGATCATGGGCGCTCACCTCCTCATTTTCAAGGTCCAGGGGCTGCTGCTTGAGGAAGTGCAGCGGATTGGCGTCTTCACTCAGGTTGTTGTACTCATCCTCTGACAAGGCGGGAAGACGATCGTGGTGGAAGTTGTCGTCCTCCTCCTCGATTTCTTGCACCTTTATGGCGGACTTGGCTGTAGGATTGCCTCTCGGCTTGGGAGTCGTGGTAGTGGGTGCGGCGGTGGTGGAGCTGGAGGAACCAGTGGAGGGTTCGGATGCGGTCGACTGCGGCAAGACCTTCACTTCGATGATCTCCTGACTGTTGTCTGATTTCGTTACATTCTGACCAGAGCACATAGCCGCACAAAGGAGCAAAACTAAAGGGCAGCACATTTCAAATTAATACGAATATCATAATTACTTTCAATAATTTAATAATATTAAGTTTAAATTTAACTTTTTGCAATTTCCATGTGATATTTTATTTGATAAAATATTACAGCCTAAACACTAACGTCTAACTTATAATAATGCCCAATCCCAGCCTAACAGCCTGCTCAATCCTCCTCCTTGCTGCTTCATAAATCCACAGGCTATAGCGTCGTCTTCTTGCCGTCGAGGATCATCTCGGTGAGTCCGAGTTGCCGGAACTGCTGCAGCCGCTCCACTTGATGGCAGAGGCGCTTCTGGAACTGCACCTCGCGGCTGAGTTCCTTGAGCTCGTCCACGCTGCAATTGGGATTGCAGCTGCCCATCTTCTTGGCGATCAGTTGGGAGGTGAGCACTATCTTGGCCTTGGAGAGCCGCAGATAGGAGAAGTCCGCGCTGGCCCGCTTTAGTTCCTGGCGGTACAGGAAGAGCTGGTACGGGAAATTCACGGTGCCGGACTTGCGCCGGAGCTTCTTCAGAGCCCGCTTTTTCTGTTTCTTGAGCGGATCGTGGGTCTTCACCTTGTGGGGCCTGTCGGAATGCCTCTTCCCCGACTTGCGACTGGATTTCTCTGATTTGCGGCTGGGCTTGTGCTGGTCAACCATGGTGTGTTGCTGTCAGGCTCAGGAGTGAATGCTGCCCGGACCAGAGGGTGAGGTCCTTTTAAAGGATCAGGTGGGCAGGTAGATCCTCCGGCCAGGTAGATATGGTCCAGGTAATTAGCGGGTGCCAGTCACGCGTTTGCATGTCGTAAACTGAAACCGTTAACAGGCTTTTTCATTCGGGTTTTCTTAGCGGTCCTGGTCGCCGGGAATTTCCCCGTCTCGTTTATGGCTTTATGACTAGCCGGAGATCCGCGTACCCGGCTTAATCCTCAATTATGGCAGCCAACTTAGCGCCGTTCGCACAGATTCCCCGGGTTTTGTGGCGATTTTTCCAGCCAAACTCAGCAGGGGATACCCAGGCGGGTTCCTTCGTGGAATTCTCCAAAATCATGGACAGTTCTAGAAGCACATTCGACGGAAATCGGCAAGAAGACGACCCTGTCCCCCTACAAATTTCTAGCTAACACTTGGTTTTCCTGGAGGCAAGAGCTGCCCTTGGATCATTTCATTGCACTAAGTTACATTCACATTTCTCGCGTTTCCCGAGGAATCCTTGACACCTAACCCACATCGTATGCCCCATTTCTCGCACAGAACGCACCTCCGCAAGAAAGGCTCCAAGTTGTCTTCATGTTTCGTGTTTAATAATAATACTGAAACCGCTTTTGGCACGGAATTTCTATTTTATAGCGGAGAAGGCAACATTTTTGGCTTCAGAAATTTCACTTGAATGGGAACAATGCGAAGTTCTACCGGCAGAAATTTGCATATTAATTTCTCAATAGTCTCGCTCTACTTTTCTCTTTTCTTCTGGCTATGCAAATTTGGCTTTGCCATCTCTTGGCCCTACAAATTTAAAAGCCGATGTCGTCATTGATTGAGTCTCTTGTCGAAGCTGGTCCAGGTAGGGGATGGGGGAATATCGAATAAATAATGATGATGCGCCACTTTTTCGGTTTATTTTGCATGCATTTTATGATTTTCGATTCAAGAGGTATTCTTTCGCCTCGGTGCCCAACAGAAGTTGTAAGGGTCCTCACATCTCCATCTTTTCTACACAAAGAAAAATAAATGAAGAAATTAGTCTATTCCTGAAACATATTGCAAATTTAAATAAATTGTTTTATTTTTCACGCTAAAAGTAATAAGAAATATTTAAAATTTCAAATATTACACCAAAATATGTAATGATATGGCAAAAGTCACATATTTCGAAGAACAGCTATAGTTTTCAATCTTATTATTATTATTTTTACAATTTACAGTTTTTGCAATAAATGTTGTTGCGCTGTTCTTTTGCATACATTTGATTGGATATGACTTTTAAATTGCCTACATTGTTGGGAAATGTAAAGCTCTCTTTGCATTTTGTGTTTCTAGTGTGGTCATCCGGAATTAGCCAAGACCATTGGAAAGTCATCGATGGGTCACTGCATCCATTTAAAGTTCAGTTTATTTATCTAGCTGCCAGACGGGGAGCCACGGCATTTCCATTTGACTTGGCTCCGACTGCCTTGCATAACGTTTCCTTCAATGTCCTTCATCTCCTGCGGTTTGCGTTTGTCATTAGAGGACGTCTAGACTCCAGACCGAGATTCAGCCAGCCAGTGCCAGACATCGATCTGCGGCGATTGCCCCGAGAAGTTGGCTACACAAATTTGGCCATAGGGAAATGGTCGAAATTGGCAGCGATTTCTTGGGCAACCGTCTCGGCATGAATTTTCCCTTGGTTAAGCAGGGCGAGTAAATATCAATTTTGGCAAATATATTTTGGCAGAAGTTCGCAAAATTAGGTTTAAATTCACATATCAACAAATCAATTTTTAAAATTCCTGCAATTACCACTTTTTATCTTTTCACTTAGGCAAATTAAATATTTATATTTACACCAAAAGGACATCGCTTAATGATTCGTAACTGTTTTGTGGCTTTTATGACTAACCACTCGGCTAAGCTCATTTTACGATCCGTCCTTTGTTATTTTCCAATTATGAATGCAGAAGAACTCAAGTCGGAGTGGGGCGAACTTTTTTCATAGTCCCCAATCGAATAAACGACGCAATAATTTTCCATCGTCATTGTGTTTGCAATTTGTTGGCCATGAGGCCAATAAATTGGCCAAAATACGCCATAAAGTGGATGGCCGAAGGAGCCATCAGACAGAAGCATATCCTGCGGAGTGAGAAACGAATGAAGGGGATACCCAAAAACCTATGCACTTTGTAATGAAATAAATGGACTTTCATGATGGACGGACTAGCAAATAAATTGCAACTTTTCGCTCCAAATTAAAATGCTCTCTTTTTGGAGGTGGCGGTGGCGAATCTATTTTGTTTCTATTTTTGTTCATGCAAAAATATAATAAATAACACACACGACTAAACTCCACTCACGGAGTTGTATTGTTTCATTTTATGCTCTGGTATTGCTCTTGTTTCGGTCTGTAAAATGCATTTCACATATTATTGTGCACTCAATCAAAAATCCATTTCCGTTTGTTTCGAACCCACACGTCTGTTTCAGTCTGTCTGTGCGGAGTGTGGAGATTCGGGATCCATTGGCAGGTGGTCCGTGCCGCGAGTTCCCGGATTGGCAGCCAAAAGTTTGATAATTGAGTTGAAGCCACGCGTTGAAGCTGCGACCATCTCCACCTTTTAGAGCCGCTGCCTACACGCCGAAAAAAGTTTAGTGGAATTAAAATTGTTAGTTCTAATGTAAAAGTAATGTATTTGCGTTGATTGCTTTTAATAAAAAGCTATATTCTCATATTTACCTGATTAACTTGTTTAATGGATATAAATAAATAAAATACAATTAGAAGGAAATGATTATAATGGTTAGAAAAAAAGAATATACTAATAAATTTATATTATAAAACAATAATATTAACGTCATTGAAATTATTATTTTAGGGCATACTAAAATATTGGCATCAGGCAAGAAAAGGAAATGCAAATGATTCGGGTATTTATTTCCACACTTATATTACATGCGCTTAAAAAAGCAAGGCAATTTTTAAGATTTCCAATGTTTGCATATTCCGAATATTAAGCGCGTTGAAAATCGAATCCTTTCACTCAGTGTACCGGCCACCCTTTGCTGTTCCCAATCATCATCAGCTTTTAGCGGGCCGGGCGGAGGCCTCCTTTTGTATGCGCAGGACGATGGCAGGGACTCCGTTCGTGTTGCACGTGCCGCATGGCGATTCAATCGACTGTGGGGCGAGGAGTCAACTGCGACCAAATAACATCGGATGGATGGCTGTCCTGACAGCCAGAGTTCCGCTTGTGGACCCCGAACAGCCCGACTGGCTCTGCATCATGCTGCAGTCAAAGTAATGCAATCCCATTGCAGCCAAATGGGGTAAATGGTTGGAGGTCCTTGCGGAAGGACCTTTATTGTGTTTGTGCAGACCATATGATGGACTCCTTGCCGGCAACTGACTTTGAAATGGTTAAATGATGGTCAAACGATGAATGAATTATTGGCACAGCAAATGGGTCAAAGGGATGTGTAATTTGAACACCATTGATTTTCTATCAGCGCTCTAAGTAATACTGGTAATTCCCCATGTCAAGAACCGCCAATTATGTGGGCATAAAAGAGTTTGTTTATTTTATATACATTTTATAAAAAATAACACGAAAAAGTTAAGAATTAGGAGTTTTATCCATATGCTTAAATTCATATTCATTGGACAAGTAATTTAGCACTTTCACTGAAACCCTTTTTATGATGTTTTATCCTTTTAATAAAATGCTTTGCACGCATAATATACTATCTTTAAATTGGATTTCTCTTTGTTGCAATAGGCGTTCGATATATCTGCATTCGAATATATGTATCTGCATTTGAAAAAAAGAAGCGAAGGAAGTAGTTTGTTTGTATGATGTGAACGAAAAATTGTCATGCAATAAAAACTAATCAAATAAATAAATAAATGAACAAAAGCTGGCACAGAGGCACCGGCAGAGCAAATAAAGTGACAAAATAAAGGAAAACAATTGCGAAATAAATGCCACAAACAATTGACAATAAACTACAGGACATACAAATAAGTGTGTGTGTGTGAGTGTGTGTGTGTATGACCCGATTCTCATGCACACATACAAACATGTTTGCATGCGTCAAGGATATAAATAAAATGAAAAGGAGCCAGAAGAAGAATGAGGCACAGAGAAATAATAAATAAACTACAGTTCATGTCATGTCAGCAAGGATAACACAGAAGGAAGGACCAACAAAAACTGACAAAATGAAATTGAGAAGAGAAACAAAGCACACAAACACCCGGATAGCAAAAAGATAATAATAAATATGTAGAGCAAGTGAAAATGGCCAAAAGTTCCGCAGATGCATGTAGTTAATTTGATGAGCTCTTTAAGTTGTCCAATTTGTCGGCATCCTGGCCAAAAGGAATGAAATAGGCCATGTAAACACGAGCGGACACGCATTCGCCCACGTTCTATGGAATACGTTTTCAGATAACGATGTGGATAAGAAAGTGGGTGGGATAACTAGCCGGGGTGATTCTAAAACCTATAGATGTGGCACTCGGTGCTCAAAAGTGGCAGAAACATGTGTGGCTATCTCCTTTTTGTGGTCTCAATGTAAGTGATAAGTTGAAACGGAAAATATTCAATGTAGATTTTAAATAAATTAAAGAAAAAAGAGACGCTTGAAAGCAAAGTCGGTGAATCAGCTAAACAAAATATTCCTAAAATCAGTCATCTGTTTCAAGTACTCGAATAACGGCTAGATATTAATAAAAGTGCTTTAAATGATATCCCCATTTAGTGAGTACACAACGGACTCCAGCGAATTAACGTTTCCCCCATTCGATTTCCCATTAAAAACCATATCATCGCCGACAATCTGTTAAGTCCTTTCAACATTGTTGGGGCAATTGCAAGCTCATCGCCCCACCATTATGAAAACAATCCACGCTCCGTGCCTCCAGCCGCAGTTTGGAGTCCCGCTTA